CTCCTCTGTGGCAAAGGGAAGTGGCTCATCCATCGTGGAGGTAGCTTAGAAAAAGGAGTTTGGTATGAAATTCCTCAGCTGCCCCTGAAGGATTTGCAGCTTCTGGGGTTCTTTCACAGAGCCCTTTCCTTCCATCAGTGCCCATAGTCCTTGGGGCCACAAACCTGGAGAGGGATAAAGTATCCCACAAACCTGGAGAGGGATAAAGTATCCCACAAACCTGGAGAGGGATAAAGTATCCCACAAACCTGGAGAGGGATAAAGTGTCCCCCAAACCTGGAGAGGGATAAAGTGTCCCCGGGCAGATGTCCTAAAGGGGATTTTCTCCCAGTTCCTCTCCAGCCGTGGGTGGAGCAGGACCCTGGTGGCCCTTGTGGCTGTGTTGGTGGCAGTGCCAACCCCACATCTGCCCTTTCCTGTGTTTGCAGCCCCCCGGGAAGCACAAGAGGGACCCCTCGGAGGCGAGCCAGCTGAGCTTGGATGGGGACAAATCCCAGGACTCTGCGCTGCCCAAAGCTGTGAACGGCTCCGTGAGCACTGGCAGGGACACCACAGATGGCCAGGGTGACACAGTCACGGAGAAAGGGACGAGCGGTGACAATGACAAGCTGGAGAGCAACCACTCCACAAAACCCATCCCCAGCTCGGCCATCTCGGCCACCCGGGACAAACCGGACATCATCCTGCAGCCCGGACATTTGGGTGACACAGCRGAGGGGAGCAAGGAGCCCAGGATGGGCAGGGAGGAGAGGAAGAGCCTCGGCGAGAGGAAGAGCGTGGTGGAGCGGCCGGAGAGCGTCCACCTGGAGGGCATGGGCGAGGACAAACTGGTCAATGGTGGCCTGGAGACCACGGGGCCCTTCCCTGGCAGCCGCCCCAAGGGAGACTCGGACTCGGGCAGCACCTCGGCCTCCGAGAGCATGGACCTGAGCATCTCCCTGTCTGCTGACCTGGCCCTCAACAGGGACAGCGGCTCCATCTCCCTCAAGGTGAGAGCAGGGCCAGAGCTGCTGCAGAGCGCAGGGAGGGGGGAACCCGAGGGAAAGCTTTCCATGGTTTGTTTGTCGTGGTGCTTGTCCCAGCCAGGGGGATCTGGAATGTTCTTGGGTGAAGGRGAAGGTTCTGGTGGAGCTGCTGCAGGTTCAGGTGTCCTCACTGAAATCTGGGCCAAGTCCAGTGTCCTGGAGCTGTTTTGTGTGAAGTGGCCAGGACACAAGCCCTGGTGTGAAACCCCAAATGGGACTTCCTAAACTTCATTTATAATCTTTCACCCTGCTGYTCTTCCCTAGGACACTTGGTCCTGGGGAAAAGCTCAGCTGGGCTTGTGCCTCTCTCAGTTTTCCCAATCTGCCCTAAATCTGGCCTGGTTTGTGTCAGCAGGGGCTGCACAGAGAAATTCCAGGATTCTTGGCTTTTGCCAAAGCTTCCAGGAGGCTGGGAGTGCTGGTGACCTGGAGTGACCAGGCCAGCATGGCTCAGAGGAACAGGCAGAATAACTGGAATGGTATTTGATGAGCAGCAGGAGGAGAAATGCAGTGACTCAAGGGGGCAGAGGGATGTGTTGCACAAGGTTTTTATCAGATTGCTGCGTGAGTGATGGTTTCCCAGCACAAAAACCTGCCCAAAACCTTTCTATGTACTGCTTCCCCCACCTCCTGCTGCGAGCTGGAGAGCCAGCATCCCCCACGGGAGCCTGCAGTCCCTCCTGATGGGAAATGTGATGCTCTTGCACAGCAATTTCCCCCTCCTCACACCCTCTCCCAGGACACCTCGTCTCCCTGAGAAGGAGGAGTGTGATGTCACACATGGAATTGCTCCCTAAATTGGTCCTTTAGAAGGGTGAAAGGATTTTTTGGGGTTTTTTCAGGGTGTGAGCCGTGTTAGATCACGGTGAGGAGGGGTCTTTGGGAGGTGGGCCAGGTTTCTTCAGGATGGAAGTCCCTCTGCTCTGCCTGTGGAGCTGCACATTCCCCGATGCTTTGCGCTCCACATGGATTCCTCGTGTGTGTTCCTCCTTAACAACAGCATCAGAATTGCTCTGAGGGCTCCAGCTGGCCCAGCCTTGGGTGGCTCGAGCCTCACGGGCTCCTCTCTCCTCCCCTGCCTGCCCCAGGACTCCCGGATGCACAACAAGACCCTGAAGCGCACCCGCAAGTTCGTGGTGGACGGGGTGGAGGTGAGCGTCACCACCTCCAAGATCATCAGCGAGGACGAGAAGAAGGACGAAGAAATGAGGTTCCTCAGGCAAGTGGGGCCCTGGGATGGAGGGAGGGCAGGGTTTTCCTTTCTCTGAGCTAATCCAGGAGTATTTCAAGTCCTCTTGTCTGTCTTGGTCCCGCCTGGACAGGGGATGGAGGGATGCAGCTCAAAATGCAGCGAGGCTGTGACAAGGAGAGCTTTGCTRTGTCTGCCCCTGTCCTCTGGGGATCCCTGAATGTGTCCCCAGGGCTGGAGATGCCTGACTCTGGGGAAATAAGCACAGAAATCATCTCAAGATGCTCCTCTTCCTTTTGTTCTCTGGCATCTCCTCAGACTTCATTAACAGAAGRGCCAAGTGAGCTGTAAACTCCTGGAGCATCATTTGATATTCATGGGTGTATCCTCCCTCTGTGATGACTCCTGTGCAGCTCCTACAGCTCTCAAACCTCCCTGACTTACTCTCAGAAAGAGCAGCTGCCTTTCCCTTCCCTTCCCTTCCCATTCTGCCCACCCTGATGGTAGATTTGGCCATCCCTGCCCATCCCATCCCTCTCTCCCTGCCTGACCCCGTGTTTCTCCATCCCCCTGCCCCATCCCATCCCCGTGCAGGCGCCAGGAGCTGCGAGAGCTCCGTCTGCTGCAGAAGGAGGAGCACAGGAACCAGGCMCAGCTGAACAGCAAGCACCAGCTGCAGCAGGAGCAGATGCAGCGGCGCTTCGAGCAGGAAATGATGGTACGAGGGCAGGGAAACTCCCAGGGTCAGCTGGGAGCTCAAATTCTCTGGTGGTGCAAAGATTTGGGAACCCAAATCCTCTCCCATTGGGCTGGAGCAGCCTTGGGGCTCGCAGGACCATGGAGGAGCCCCTTTGGGATCTCAAGCACGGATGGAGGGTTTGTGGAAGCCCTGGCAGGGTGTGACAGGACAAGGGTTGTTCTGGACTTTCTCTCTTTAATGATCTTTTCTTTTGTGTCTGTTCGTGGCTACTGTGAGAAACAGTTTGTGATTCACAGAAAAAGAAAAACCCTTTAAATAAGAAAGCAGCATGGCCTGAGTGTGACAGCAGGAAATCTGGCAAGGCTTTGAGCGTAAATTGAATAAACTGGGCTCACAGACTTGGTCCCTCCACGGGCAGCTTCTGTTGAAGTGAAATGATTTGGAAGTTAATCAGAGGATGGTTTGGGTTGGAAGGGATCTTAAAGATTTTCTCCTCCCATGGCACAAGGGCTGTGTTGGAGTACAGAGCTTCAAACTTTGGGAGGTGTTGGTTGGAAGGTTCCTCCTCTGTGAAGACGCTCAATGCCTCAAGCCAAGCAAGGACAATCCCCTGCCCCTATTTTTTTTTTTTTCCCCTTTTCACTTTTAAACTTTGAAAAAGCAACGAAGCAGAGAGTTGGCTCAGGTTGAGCTTCCTTTGTTGCCTTCCAGGCTAAGAAGAAGTTCTACGACACGGAGCTGGAGAACCTGGAGCGGCAGCAGAAGCAGCAGATCGAGAGGATGGAGCAGGAGCACGCGCTGCGCCGGCGCGAGGAGGCCAAGCGCATCCGCCTGGAGCAGGAGCGCGACCACGCCAGGTTCCTGGAGCAGCTCAAGCAGATGAARAAGGAGGTAAAAAATGGGCCTGGCAGGGAGGAAAGTGGAGTTCCTGAGCCTCTTTATTCCTGGGAAGAGTCAGAGTTTCTTGTGGTGGAATTTGGGAAAAAAGCAGTTGGGATTTTATGAGGAAGCTCTTGCTTTTGGGTGGTTCCTGAGCTGCTTTTGGGTGATTCCTGAGCTCCTTTTTGGGTAATCGTGAGGTGTTTTTGGGTGATCCCTGAGCTGCGTTTGAGTGATTCCTGAGCTCTTTCTGAGCTTTTTTTGGATGATTCCTGAGGTCTTTTTGGGGGATTCCTGGGCTGGTTTTGGATGATCCCTGAGCTCTTTTCGGGTGACCCTGAGGTCTTTTTGGGCAATCCTGAGCTGGTTTTGGGTGATTCCTTAGGTGCTTCTGGGTGATTCTTGAGATTTTTTGGGTGATTGCTGAGCTCCATTTGGGTGTTCCTGACCTCTTTTTGGGTGATTCCTGAGCTATTTCTGGGTGATCTCTGAGCTATTTCTGGGTGATCCCTGAGCTCTTTTGGGTGATTCCTGAGCTCCATTTGGGTGATCCTGACCTCTTTCTGGGTGATTCCTGAGCTATTCAGTGACACAAGCTGGGGTTGTTCCTCACTCAGAGTTTCCTGCAGGGAAATCTCCTCTCCCTCCCCACAGGTCAAGAACGAGGTTGAGAAGCTGCCACGGCAGCAGCGCAAAGGGAACCTCAAGGCCAAGATGGACGATTTCACCCAGAAAAAACAAACCATGGTGAGGCTCAGGGAAGATTCCCCCAACTCCAGAACTGGGAAGGGCRCAGGAGAGAGAAACATCCTTCCTGCTGGAGGGACTGGTGGGTTTGAAACACCAGCTGCGGCAGAAGGAGGAAAACCRCTGTTTTTTTCCCCAGGAACAGGAATTTTTGGCCAAGCAGAAGGAGGACTTGGAGCAGGCCATGAAGAACATCACTGCCCAGAACAAAAGGGAGATCTGTGACAAGGAGCGCGAGTGCCTCAACAAGAAGCAGCAGCTGATGAGGGGTGGGTGGCAAAGGCTGGCAGGGATGGAGGGAGCGCYGTCACCGTGGCTTTCTCCAGCCCTGGCTCTCCCCACGCAGCAGATGCTGTGGCAAAGCTGCAGGCTGCCAGGATGGGATGTGGAAAAAAAAACCCCATCCTGTCTAAATGTTTAACMATAATAATGCTCAGTGCTTGAATCTTCAAAGTGCTTTACAAATACGAACCGATTCGGCTCCGTAATTACAAGAAATCAGGCTCTAATATGATTTGGGACCGATTTGTGTCTGAAAACGGGACATGAATGATCACCCCCAAACATCTGGAGCTCTCTCAAGCTCAGGACACTTGGTGTGACCRAGCTGAGGGCCAGAGTGGGTTGTCCTGACCTTTTTTGTCCCCACAGACCGGGAAGCTTGCATTTGGGATCTGGAGGAGCGCCAGCAGCAGGAGAGGCACCAGCTTATCAAGCAGCAGCTGAAGGACCAGTATTTCCTCCAGAGGCACGAGCTGCTGCGGAAGCACGAGAAGGTGAAGGATTTGCACCTCCCCACGCTTCTGTGGGTCACAAATGTCCAGGTGTCCCTGGGTRTTTCCTTTCCAGGCTGTGAGGGGTTAAAGGGTTTGGTCATTATTGGGGGAAAAGGATCAGAATAAAGAAGGCAGTGAAGCTTTCTTGGCTGGGACCTGTGCTCTGTGTACATTTAACATGCAAGGAGCAGCTGGGAGTTTTGAGGGCCTTTCCTGGAAATCTGTCACTGTCTAGAATTCAGCACGGCTGATTCCCAGAGCAGGGAGTGAGGACTGCCCCTTCCAGCCCCCTCTCCTCTGCTTTCACAGTCACTGCCATCCCCTC